TCATGACTTTCTATTCATTTCTATTAGTTTATATCTTATTATGAATGGTTTCTTTTTGTGATGCTTTTTTCGCCGGTATCAATGAGAACAATAATGATTCTCTCTACCACGTGAATACATCACAATTCAGTTCACAGTTTACAGTACACAATATACAGTTCACAGTTCTTATTATTTCATCACGTCTGGCTAAAGTCGTATTTACGGTAGGGTTTATCTTAGTCACATGCCAAAAGACTACACACACACCCACTCCTCGGTGATACCAGTTAAATAAGTTTATTAAATTTTTTAATGTATATTTATTTATTTCAACTCACTAATAAATTTTCTAAGTTTTATTATGTAATATATTCTATACCTGTAACACATATACTGTAATTATTCATCACCATAAACTCTTTTAGATATCCTTAATATACTCTAAATTACATAGGAACCAGTACATATATGAATTTAGTTACAAAATATAGCAAAATAATTTACCAGCACTTTTAGTAATAAATATAAATAAGAACTAGTAATTAAGAGTAAAATTTTGTCGGAATCCTATATCTAATTATCAATTATTAAATGTTATAATTTTAATATCTTAAAAAGATTAAACTACGTTTGTAAGTATTTACGCGCTTACTTGATTTCTACCTAAATTTCTTTCGTAAAATTATCCTCGAGATACAAGATCAACATATTACAATGATATCCGTATCATATTAGTAATAAATTGGTAATCTCCTAATTTTAAACACTCTTGTATAGACTTATTCCTAATTCTAAATTAGATAAACAATTCATTGCATTAAATTTAATAGGAATAATTAACCTTAAATTTAAAATGGTAAATCATCAGAGTTTTTTGAACTCACTTACCCGAACCGGGTTCTTAGGACTCACTGCGCGCAACCACTGGAAGTCAAGTGCGCCTCCACTCATGCCACCAACGAACTACCACGCACCGCCACCGCTCACTGTTGCAGATCGACCAGAACTCACCGTAAAACGGTTCGTGCCCTTAGATCCAGCACATATATGGTGAAATCATCCTAAGATCTACGTGGTAGATGAGATCTTTACTGCTCTCATTGATACCGACGAAAATGGCATTACGCGGTGAAACTATTTTTAATAAGATATAAACTGATATTAATGAATAGGAGGTCATGAGTAGAGTTTACGATACTGAAATACTGAATTAATATCTACTGAACTGATTGCTGCTTAAATTGTAATATTGAATAATGAATTATGTTATTTATTGAATTGTTTATGCCATAGGTTATAATCTTAAAATAAGAAATTTTTAATGTTTATTGAACAAACTGATATAGAAAATTTGGTGATTGAATTAGGGTGTAGATACCACATATTTTCTGAATTAACAAAAAAATATTTTGAACAATCTACGTCAGTAATTTTATATTTTCTATCAACTTAGACATATTATCTTATTATTTGTTAGTAGTTACATGAGCATATTATGCTCACCTTATCTATTATTCATTTTTTATATATTAAGATATTCAGAATCCCTCGTTTATGAGTAGTGAAAAGTTTGTTAGGAGATTGTTCAATTTTTATTTTAATTCAAACAGTACTTAATATTAATTATTTTATTTTTAATAAATAGTTATTTTAGAGTTTAGATAAATCTCTCAAATATTGGATATTTTGAGTTAATTATGCAAGAGATATAGTTCTATTGGTTATCTTATCATAACATTGTGGGCATTCGGTTAAAACTCTAAGTGAGAATTCGAACTTTTATATAATTATTATACATTAATTTGTTTCGTCACCTAAAATTGAGTCCTATCTATATACCCAGTAATATTATATAACATTTTTTTATATTATATATATATATATATATATCTCTCTCTCAAAATATATGGTCTGAATGTCAAACAAGTTATATATATAGATATTAATATATAGATTCGCACACACACACAGTGAACACAAGGAACTCTTATATTTGTTACGAAAATGGTGGGTATGGGATGGTGTGTATAACGTACACATATATATTATGATAGTGCATAAGAAAATTATATTATATATTTTTATTATATATGTGTTATTTAATAATGAAATGTGTAAGTTTATACTAATTTTATACTATATAATAGGAGAATATATATATATATATACACATACAATGTAGTGTATTGTTTATAATCATCAAAATTCTTATATAAATAAAATGTATGTATATACAAAAGAGAATGTATTATCTTCTATATTAGATTGTCTTTTATAAATTTAATTTTTTTAAAAAAATTAGTTTAATTAATTATTTAAAATGATATCAGAACTTAAGAGTTAGGATTTGGATATTTACTACTTTTATAAATATTTATTATGGTATTATAGATATTATTTTTATTAAAAATTAAATCTTGGTTATCTAATATTTGTTAAAAATTAATTGCCCCAAAAAATTTAACATATTTTGTTGTATCTATATGTTTAATTTGGTAAATTTTGCCTGAAATTATGTATTAAAATATAAATAATTGGTCGAATATATATTAAATTTATATTTTTAAAAATTATTTTTACGAAATGTATAGAATAATGATATTTTAATTTCAATAATTATAAATTAATGGGTTAATAATTTTCTTTCGTGGGTTAATAATTATTTATTTATTTTTATTTAAAATAATTAATTTTATCTGTAAAAATTACTTGAATTCGGTTTAATTCTTTTATTCATAATTTATGAATTCTTTGTTGTTTACAAAACATAAACAAAATTTTGAAAGCAATGTTATATATATATACATATATATAATTATGTGGAAAATCCAAAAAAAAAAAAACAATAAAAAAAGGTGTAAAAATCCATGAAACATATATATTTTTTAAATATAAAATAATTAAAAAAATCATTATAAGATTCTGAGTTGAAATTTTTGCAGAGCTAATAATTAAATAATTTTTTTTTCTGGGTCTAATAAAAGAAAGAAAATGATTTTGTCAAAAATTGGGTTATCTACATTTGAGTATTTGTAAACCACATGTAACAAATGCAGATCTAAACTAGGAAATTAAAGTGAAGATGACGACGTTTTTGTCGGGTGAGAAATTAGAATCCTAATTCACCAAACAATTGAATTTTCAAAGCAAAGAGAGATTAATTTTTCTTGTATGAATACTCCATGAAATTGAAAACAGATAATATCCCTTTCAAAAACTACTTAATTCTTTAATACCACAAGGAAGGAAAATTGTTATTTTATTTTATATTATAGTTTCATATGTTTGTATTATATATACATATATATATATATTTAATTATTCTTAATATGTTTATATTTATATTAATGTAATAATATGATCAGTCGTTATTCGAGTTGAATAATTCGTAAACTCGACACAATTTTAAAAAATAAAAAAGATTCAATTTAGTACCAAGTTCGGAACAAATTTGAGTTCAATTTTCATATGAGTTGGTTGAGTTTGAGTTTGGTAAAACTGCTCTCGAACCCGTCTTGATACCATCCCTGTATGAAAATCATTAATTATAACTTTGTATGAATATTAAAAAATTTCAACAAAAAGATATGTATGTTTTTCAATGCTTAATAAAGTTAAACTCGTTGTAGATGAATTTACAACTATTGATAAACTTAAATCTAATATGAACTTAACGACTATTATATTTCAGTAATATCAGTTTAAAGTATTGTTAATTTATTATTAATTTCAACCCGACAATTTCATAAATATTATTTAAAATAGACATACTAATGTTCCTATCAAGTTCGATAATGGTAAATTTTCATATTTAAAAATTAAATGGATTTCTATCAAATATACAACACAAAAATTACACTAGTACTAATGCTAAAATTTTTTTTAACTTTCTTAAAACTATATTCAAGAGCAACAAAATCCAATAACTAATCTTATATACGCTCGTAGTTTTACACAACAACCATCTATTAGATCTTCTCATATTTCTCAGTGCTCTCACGTCGATGAATTTGCAACTACTGATAAATCTCTATCAGTAATCTCAGCTTAAAGTATTACTCATTTATCATTAATTTCAATCTGACAATCTCATAGGTATTATTTAAAATAGATCTATTAATGTTTATATCGAGTTCGATAATGGTAAATTTTCATATTTAAAAATTAACTATAATACTTATTTTGCCAATGTAGTTTCCAATCAACACCGGTACTAATACTAACGAAATTTTTTTTAACTTTCTTAAAACTATATTCAAGAGCAACAGAATCCAATAACTTTAGATACGCTCGTAGTTTTACACAACAATCATCTACTAGATTTTCACATGTTTCTTAGTGCTATCACGTCGAAGTATCTTATCATGTTATTTTATATTTTTCTAATCTCAATCTTATATCAAAATACAAGAATAATCACATTGCTTATAATTTATATAATACTCTAATTTTTATTTTGATATTAAATAAATTTTGAAAATAAAATATTATATTATTATATTATTATTATTATTGTTAATTTTGTTATTGTTAATCATATAATAATAAAATTATATGGCCCATTTTTAAACCCAAACCCATTTCTTTTTACTACCCTAGCAAAAAGCCCAAATCAGTTGAAAAGCAAGTTCAAATCTGATCCAAACACGACCCGGATCCGGCCCGGAACAAATAAATAAAAACCCCAAAAATTAAAACGCAGCACATTAAGAAAACTCCAATCCCAACCCAGAAAATCGTAGGAGAAGAGGGGAAAACCTTCTGAAACTGCAAGAAGCTTTTCCCAGACTACGAACCAGAGAGTGTGGAAGAATTCATCGCGAACAATCAATGTTATTTCTTTATCTAGTGTGTTGAATTCAATGGAGTCTCATGTCCTTACCGGTGGGTCGAGCAAAAGTCATGAATCGACCGAAGAAGAAGAAGAAGAAGAAGGATTGGCAAAGAACAACTTATTTTCAATGCTAAAACCCTACTGCATGGAGCTTATAGATCTTACGCAAAACACTAGAAAGGATTCCGATGCTATACCCGCCTTACTCCAACTCATCCGCACTACTCCCTTCTGCTCTTCTCCAGCCCTTCTTCGAGTAGTTTCAGTGTGCATACACTCATTTG